AGGTACTCTCCATAGAGTCTCGTCACAGCAGTCCTCTGAGGTCAGCATTCCTTTTTAAATTCTTTTATTATTTTTTTTTCTTCCTTGTGCTTTTTGGGTCTGAGATTAGGGTCAGGTGAGTGTGGTACCCAGTGCACAAAATTTAAGGAGACACACGCTCACTGTAGTCACCATCTTGGTGCTTGGAGTGGACACTGGGATGCACCACTCAGACTCCCTTTGCAGAGATCGCTGCCCTAACCGCGGGGTTGCTGCTTGCAGCTGGCAGCTCCTGCAGGGACTGGCTCCACTACAGAGAGCCACCTCGCCCACAATCACCTCACTGCCTGGGCAGCCACATCCAATGACTGATGGATGCAGGGCATAAAGGAGTATGAAGGCCCAACTTGGGATGACTCTGAAGGTCATACTAGCTCCAAAGCTCCCCGTGGGACCGGCTCAGGCTGTGGGCCTGCTTTGTACCATCTTGTGCTCATTCTGCTTCCTCTTCTCCACAGCTGCTGAGCCCATGCCACACCCTAATCAACCTCTTACAAGCTAAATGCCATCTCACAGTCTGCTTCCAAGGACCCCAACCTGTACCAGCGTGACTGTTGGAGTAACCCCTTTCTACAATGCAAAAACATTGCATTGTAGACAAGCACTGCTGTCTAGTCGGATCCGACTCATAGCGACCCCTCCGTGGGTTTCCGAGGTGGTATCACTATGGAAGTAGATTGCCCAAACTTTCTTTCGAGGAGTGGCTGGTGGGTTCGAATCACCAGCCTTCTGGTTAGCAGTCAAATGCCTTAGGCACTAATACCACCTTCCTCAAGACATCAGTAGTAAAACACCAAACCCATTGCTGTCAAGTTGATTCCAACTCATGGAGACCCCATGAGTGACAGAGCAGAACATGGGGTAGAACGTGGAGCACACAGGGTTTTCTTGGCTATAATCTTTACAGATTCATCAGGCCTTTCTTCCATGGTGTCACCGGGTGGGTTTGAACCACCAACCTTTAGGTTAGTAATCAAGTGCAAATATTCTGTGCCACCCAGGAACCTCTCTTTTAGAAACCCTTCCCCAAAAGCCTTTGGTCCAGGATCATAGCACTAACTACAAATCACACTTGCTAGGGGCCAGGCACTGTCCTAAACACATTACATGCATTAACTCTTTTAATCTCCTCAGCAGCTCTTGGTGGGGCTCCTATTGGCATCCCAATTTATAGGTGAGTTTGAGAGAAATTACACTTTTCTTGAAAATACTTCTCTGGAATGAAAGTTAGTCAACCTAAAGATGACTCAAAATAAAAAAACTTCAGGGAAAAAAAAAAAGAGAAAGTCATTACTGTGACTCAGTTTCCAACCTTGAGGAAAATGACTCCTGACTCCAAAAGATCCAGCCTAGGTGTGACAGCAAAGTCCACAGGACCAAGAGACAGTGGGTTGCTTTAGGAGGGTGGCATCAGGGAAGAGGTGAAACTCACCCCACTGGAACCACATGAAGCTGGTATGACCCTCATAGGAGGACCAAGATTCAAAAGGTCAGGTGGCTTGACTGGGGTCAGGCAAGAGTCCCAAGGCTGGTCCCCCAGGCTGTTGGACTACAGCCATTACTCTTTCCACCACCCCTTCATGTTGGCAGAAAGGACACCCATGCTCTCCTCCTGCTGGTAGGGTCAGAATCCTCCAAAGAATGTCAGGGATTTGGGGATCCAGGTGGTGGGCTGCCCTGGCCTTACCTCTCCTTTGTCCACCTGCCCGCTGTCCAGCTTTTCATCAGTCCCTCTTGCAACATCTCAGCAGCTGGACCTCCTTTAATTCTGGAAAGAGACAAGTGCTAGGTTTTCATTATAATCCCTTCTACATGGAGAGTGCATTAGAATTGACCAACTGCTTATCAAACCATTGCTGAATTTGCTCCTTACTTATTGGGAGGCTTATTGCCTTACAAAGTAGCAGGGCAGGGATATTAGACCCATTTCACTGATAGAGAAACTGAGGCCCAGAGTCAGGACAAGGGCTGAACTTCTCATCCCAGTCTAGCTTCTTTGTTTCTGTCTCTAACCTAATGTCTTGAGCAAGGCCAAGGCAAACACTGGTCTCCCTGAGCTCAGAGTTCAGTCCATTTCCTTCCAAGAAACCTCTCTGTTTTCTCTTCCCATCCCATCCCAGAAGGCCTTGTTATCTTCCAAAACCAAAACTCACTGCCATGGAGTTGATTCTGACTCATAGCGACCCCCATTGGGTTTCCGAGGCTGTAAATCTTTACTGAAGTAGATTACCCTATCTTCCTTCCACAGAGTGGCTGGTGGGTTTGAACCACTGACCTGGTTAGCAGCCAAATACCTTATCCACTCCTTGTTATCTTAGGGTGTTCTGGTTACCTAGTGCTGCTCTGACAGGAATATACCACAAATGAGATGGCTTGAACAAACAGTTTATTCTCTCAAAGTTCAGGAGGCTAGAAGTCCGAGATCAAAATGCCAGGCTCTAGAGGCTGGGTGAAAGCCCCTCAACCTTGGACTTCAGCTCTGCCTCATGCTCCTGCCCCACTGAAGCTAGAGGCTTTTCTTCACTCAGACAGGTGTTGGCTGCCAAGGTTGACAAGCCCAAGCTGACAAGCCCAAGGTTGACAAGTAAAAAGGCACAGTCTTGATGTTACCAAACCATATGGCAGGCCATTAATTCAAATCCATTGAAAGTCCCAGTTAGCAAATCATGGCAGCCTGCTGAACAAACTACTCGGCTGCATGCTGGGTTCAAGCGTGCCATAAGCTAGAGACCATTCCCAAAGCTGCTGCTTATATATGGGAAGCTCACCACATCTGTAAAGCAGCTACTCAGCTGCTGGTGGTAGATCCCACCATGGAATTGATTACCAGTCTCATCATGGGGAATACTGCATCCAGCTGCCCAGCCAAATTAGGGAGATCTTTATTCACTTGCCAGACACCTCCTGCCACCCACCCCATGCCTGTTCTGATGGCTTCAGATCCTACTCCAACACAGTGTGCCCCAGATGAACTCACTACTGGTAGGAGAGTCCCATCAGCATACAATCCTGGCAAGAGAGGAAACCCAGCCACCAGGGACAGGTCTCAGCCCCTTATTTCCCTCCATAGGTTCCCTGGAATCCATTCTCTCCAGCCCCACTGCCCTTGGCTTCCTCTCAACTCAGGGATCTTTCCAGAGAGAGTCAACAGCAGAGGGTGTCCAGGAGTTCATACTGGTGTTAAGGATGCTGAGGCCAAATCCCATCGGTCCTGGACAAACTCCATGTCCCTTATCTGTACAATAAAGACTGTACCTACCTCACAAAGTTGTTGTAAAATCAGCAGGCCTTTGTTGTCTATGTCTGACCTTTGTGGCTGTCCCTTCCAGACACCTCACGCTTCCCCACACCCTCACTGTACTTGCATGCCTCTCTGCCTTTGAACAGCTCTGTTCTCCACTAGAATGCTACCTTCTTCAAAGCTCTGTTCACCATGTTATGTGTCACTGTCTCCCTGACACATGAACTTCCCTTCACTCCTAACCAGCTGAAACCACTGTCTGCTCTGAGTTTGCCTCCTTGGCCATCCTACCCGTATTCTAGGCCTCATCACCTTCTTCCTTCTGCCAACATTAGTTTATTTCCAGGTCTGTCACCCACCTGCTCCCACCTGGACTGTGACTCCATGGGGGCATGAATCAAGTTGGCACAGGGTCTGGAATAAACCAAGCACCAATTTGTAGAATAAAAATGTTATTGTTAATTGCCATTGAGTCAATTCTAACTCCTGGTGACCCCACGTGTTACAGAATAAAATTGTTCCAAAGGGTTTTCTTGGATATAATCTTAATGGAAGCAGGCCTTTTCTTCCTCTGTAGCACTCGATGGGTCCAAACCACCAACCTGTAGGTTAGCAGTCAAGGACTAAGTCTGTGTCACCTAGGGACATAGAATAATAATAACAATAGCTATCATTTACTGAGCACTGACCAGACAACACCTGCTAAACGTCTCCTGTTGCATTCAATCCTCTCAACCACCTGAGGAGACTGGGGCCATCTCTCTCTGAGGAAACAGCTTCAGAAATGTGGATGGATGGTGTCTTGGACAACAGAGAGAGCCAGGTTCAAAGCCAAGCTCTTCTGAATCTTCAGGGACCACCCTAGCTCCCCTCTGGCCCTCAAGTAGACAGGTGAGGAGGCAGCACTGCCAAGCACCCCCACCCCCAGGAGCTAGGAAGTCCAAAGGCTGTGCCCTCAGGTTACTGGCCACCCTGTGGCAGCCTCTGCCTTCCAGGTTATGACATAACAGTTGCCTAATTCAAGTTATTTTTGAAACCAACGGCTTGTTTCCTCTCCTGGGCACTGCCAGGGGCTGTGGCCTCCATCCCACCCAGGGTCTCCAATAGCCTCAGAACTCTGGAATCTAAATACACTTGGAGGTGGAGGTAACACGGAAGAGAAAACGCATGATTGTAAAGTGACCCAGTTTTATTTTGGTTTGTGGCCTGAGGAAGGCAGGTGGGGCAATCCTCCACAGGCAGGGGTTAGAGCTATACAGTCTTCCCTTCCCCATGGCAGGATGCCCAGCGATGCCAAGTCCCAAGCAGACGGGGTGGGGACAGGGGACTCAGTGGATGATCGCTCCGGGGACCCAATCCCGGTAGTGGTTTTGCAAGGAGAGAGGGGGAATCAGGCAGAGACCTGTAATGGCTCAGATGTGGGGAGAGTAGGAGTCGGAGGGAAGAGAGAGGATACAGAATCCAAGAACTGGGACTCCGAGAGCTGGTCCAGTCCCTTTCACTTTACCGCTGAGGCGGCGTGTCGGGAGGTGAGACCAAACTGTCATCTCGCAGGGCCTGGAGTGACTCCTGGCGTCCCACCGGGTCTTGGGCTCTGTGCACAACCCGCTGCCTCCACCCTCACAGAGGGTGCGTAAGGGGCCCAGTCTCTCGGTGCGGAGTCCAGGGAGCTGATAGGCCCCCTTCTCCTCTCGAGCACGCCAGGCGGGGCTCGCCGAGCTCAGCAGCTCACGGAGCCGGCGGGCGGCGCCGACCCCAAGTCCGAGAAGCAGTCGAATTCGCTCTGGCCCAGGAAGAGCTCTGGCAGTTCGCGCACGCGGTGCAGCCCAAGCTCCAGCTCCAGCGACGTCAGCGCCTCCTCGTCTATGAGTTCGGCGTCCATGCAGCCCAGGGCGTGAGCGGGCGGCGGCGGGGCCGGGGCGCCAGGCACTGGCTGCAGGCCCAGGGGGCCTCCCAGGGCGCCGGGGGCCGCGGGCGCGCGGCCTGGGTACAGCGTTGCCACTGGCTGCAGGTGCGCACTGCTGGCGCCGGGCGGCACGGCCGGGAAGGGCTGGAAGGCTGGTGGCGGCCCGAAGGCCCCGTACGCCAACGCTCCCGGAAGGGGCGGTGGCGGCCCGAGCGGAGCCCCCCGGGGCCGCAGCCCGCTGTCCAGGCCGGGGCCCGCGTACGGCTGCAGAGTCCGGAGCGCGTGAGGGCCATGCGCGGGCGCGGCGGCTGGCGGCCTCTGCATCAGGCGGTAGCCCTCGGAGAGCATCAGATGGTCTGCCATGGCGGCGGGCGAGGGTCAGCGCGGGCGGCCCTGGTCGGGCCCAGCTGCTCCTCTGCGGCGAGGGCTTCCCAGACGCGAGCCCTCCCCGTAGCCCAGGTGGGCGATGGAAAACCGAACCCGACCGGTGCTGCTGCCCAGCCCAAGATCCACCAGCTCCGCGATCCTGCGCGCCCGGAGGCCACCGCTCCCGCCTGCAAGAATAAAACACACGAAACAGGTCGGGCTGCGAGAGCTCCGCGCCGCCGCGCCCCTCAGCGACACCTTATACTCCGAGGCGGGCGGCCCCGCCCCCGGGCGCGCATTGGCTCGATGAAGACGCCCCTGGGCGGGCCGCGCCGTGCTCTGTTCAGGCCTCAGCCCCGCCCTCGGCCCGAGCTTTGCCCCTTGGGCTCCCAGTCAAGCTACTGGCTGTGAGTTCCGCCAGCAAGGTCTGGTGTTTGGCACTTTCCGAGGGGGCTACGTCAGGGGTGCCGACCCAGGGCTCGGCAAAGACCGGGCTTGAACTGACCGAAGTTAGGTGGGAGGCCCAGAGGTTTATGCACCTCCAGAGCTGTGGGATCTGAGACCCAGCTTCTTAGTTTTCCAGATGGGGACCGAGAATCAGTGTGGGAGGAATTTCCCACCCAGCGAGGCATTGACAAAAACCCGGCTTGCGATTGCCACCTCTGCACAGGGTACAGATACCTTAGCAGGCAAGCTTCCCGCGGAAGCTCAGCTGTCTGTCCCCATCACTCGGGTTTGTCAGTTGTTACTTCTCTGTCTCCCACCGCACCTTGTCTGTTGAAGCATGTAGTGAGTTGTTATTAAAGCAGTTTATTAGCATCCCTCCCGAAGGGCTTGTTCCTTTTAGTATCTCCAGCACTTGGCTCAGAGCCTGGCCTGGAGCAGGTTTTTAGTCAAAGTTGGATGAATGAACAAATGATTGAATGAATTGCAATTCATTCACCTGGACATCAGTTTCTTCATCTGTAAAATGGGGACAAAAGCAGCAGTGACCCACAGGGTTGTTGTGCACAGTGCCTGGCACATAGCTGTTGTTGTTAAGTGCCGTCAAGTCAGTGCTGACACATAGTGATCCTATGTACAACAGAGCAAAACATTGCCAGGTACTGCGCTACCCTCACAATCGTTGCTATGATTGAGCCCATTGTTGCAGCTGCTGTGTCAATCCATGTCTTTGAGAATCTTCCTCTTTTTTGCTGACCGTCTACTTTACCAAGTATTTTATCCTTCTTCAGGGACTGGTCCCTCATAATAACATGTCCAAAGTTACTACATGCTTCAACATGAGATGAAGTCTTAGTACCCTCATTTCTAAGGAGCATTCTTGATGTACTTCTTCCAAGAAAGATTTGTTCATTCTTCTGGAAGTCCAAGGTGTAGTCAATGGTCTTCAACAACATCATAATTCTTCAGTTCTTCATTCATTGTCCAGCTTTCACATGCATATGAAAAACAAACAAACAAGCAAACAATGAGACAATTGAAAACACCATGACTTGGGTCAGGTGCACCATAGTTGTCAGGGTGACATCTTCGCTTTTCAACACTTTAATTCTTTTGCAGCAGATTTACCCAATGCAATACACACCATCTCATTCTTTGACTGTTGCTTCCATGGGTATTGATTGTGGATCCAAGTAAAATGAGATCTTTGACAATTTCAATTGTTTCTCCTTCTATTATGATGTTGCTTATTGGTCCAATTGTGAGGATTTTTGTTTTCTTTATGTTGGAGTGTAATCCATACTAAAGGCTGCAGTCTTTGATGTGCATCAGTAAATGCTTCAAGTCCCTTTCACTTTCAGTAAGCAAGGTAGTGTCATCTGCATATCACAAGTTGTTAACGATTCTTCCTCCCATCCTGATGCCAAGTTCTTCTTCATATAGTCCAGTTTCTCAGATTATATGCTCAGCATACAGATTGAACAAGTACGGTGAAAGGATACAACCCTGACACACACCTTTCCTGACTTTAAATCATGCAGTAGTATTCCCTTCTTCTGTTCAAACAACTGCCTGTTGGTCTATGTACAGCTTCCACCTGAGCACAATGAAGTGTTCTGGAATTCCCATTCTTTGCGATGTTATCTGTAATTTGATATGATCCACGCAGTCAAATGCCTTTGGACAGTCAATAGAACACAGGTAAACATCTTTCTGGTATTGTCCACTTTCAGCCAAGGTCCATCTGACATTAGCAATGATATCCCTCGTTCCACACCATCTTCTGAATCTGGCTTGAGTCTCTGGCAGTTCCCCATCGATGTACTGTGGCAACTGTTTTTGAATTATCTTCAGGAAAATTTTACTTGTGTGTGATAGCAATGATATTGAACAATAATTTCCATGATCTCTTGGATCAATTTTATTTGGAATGGGCACAAATATGGATCTTTTCCTATTGGCTGACCAGGTAGCTATCTTGCAAATTTCTTGGGATGGTTGAGTGAATGCTTCCAGCATTGCATCCATTTGTTGAAATACCTCATTTGGAATTCCATCAATTCCTTGAGTCTTGTTTTCTGCCAATGCCTTCTGTGTAGCTTGTACTTTTTTCTTTTAATAACATCAGTTCCTAATCATATACCTACTGAAATGGCTGAACATCTATTCTTTTTGCAATATTGAAGGATTCTATGAGGAAAATATTGAACAATTCAGGATGCATCAAAAGAAGATGGAAGGGAATACACAGAGTCACTGTATCAAAAAGAACTGGCACATAATAGGCCTTCAAAAATGTACCTCAACAGAATGAAGGGCTGGATTTAGTTCTATCCCTAGAGACTTTCAGAGTGGACCTTCACACCTTCCCTTGATAACAATAATAGTAGTAACTGGGACTTTTAGAGTGCTTCGAATTGGCCATTCAAAACTTCATGGAACACAGTTGCACTCTGACACACATGAAGTCGCCTTGAGTTGGAATCAACAGCAACTGGTTTACATTCTGCAAGCATTTTATCAGAGGGCAGGTGAAGGACAATCAGCCTTATTTTGCAGATAAGGAGATTAAGGCACAAAATGAAAGTGGAATTCTTGGGATCACACTCAGTCAGATTTACTATGTGAATGTGGTATGTTTCCTTAAAGCAGCTGGCATTTCTCCCCTGAGCCAGGAGAAAGTGTCCTTGAACCTTGTCTTCCACAGGTTCACAGCCCCTCCCCTTCCTTTTCTTAGTTCCCTCCTCCTGTAATGACCTGGGGACCAGAGACATATCTAAGGTATGGCAGGTATGGCCTGTACTCTGGGTGCACTTGAAGGGAGATACCACAGAGCAGTGTCTATTAATCATTATAGTTTCCATCACCAGCTGTGAGGACTCATTCAGCAAGCTAAAACTAATACTTTTGTATTTTAGAGATTAAGGCAGACTGTGTGTCATGCTTTGTTGAGTGCAAAAAGAGAAGAGACTGAAAAAAAAGACTGAAAAAAAAAAAAGACTGAGTACATTGTAGACTAATTTTCATCAGTGAAAGCAAGAAAAGTGCAGGTGTAATGTTCATGTGGTGCTATAATGTGTTAAGTAAAAGATTAATGAACTTGACCTGTATTTTTGTATTTAGTGTTTGTATTTAGAGTTATCTAAAAGATGGGTGTCAGATGCTCGGACAGGGGTACTTTTTGGTGCTTGTCATAGGCACTACTTTCCATAGATAGGCCTTTGCTTGGGACTTCCTGGAACTTGGGTTTATCAAGTCTGTGCAGGGTGGAGAATCCTGGAGTGAGAGTCCAGAGGCCGACGTTGCAGTCATAAAGCCACCACCTGTAGGCAGCATGAAGGTTTTGTGGGGGAGGGGGCTGTCACTTGTTTTCCCAGGGCCTCAGCTTTCTGCTCTGTGAATAAATGGGAGATGGTAATCCCTGCCTAGCCACCCTGAGAACTTGTGGGAAGGTCACAAGTGACCATGGGCGTGATAGCATTTTGGCACCGTGTGAAAGCTGTACTTCAGAATTGATTCTCCTGGCTCTTCCTCCAATCTAAGGTTCACACAGCAATTTCCAAACCTGGCTGCCCCTCAGACTCATCTAGAGCTGTGAGTGGGGGAGGGGGCTTGGACTGCAGAATCTCCAGCCTTACCCAAACCTCCTGGCAAAGACTCTTGGTGGTTATTTCATAAAGATCTGTGCTTTTAAAAAGCACCCCAATGCAGCTGGCTTGACGATACCAGTCTGAGTTGGGAAGCCATGTGTCGCCAGTTTTCCTTTTTTAAAAAATGGGTGTGAATAAGTTATTTAATTCAGTCAACACGTATTTATAGAGCAGCTCATGTGCAGCCACCAGCCGTCTGTCTGGGGAGGTTAGGTGTTGCTGTGATGCTGAACAGGTGTCAGTGGGTCATTCAGGCTGGGAGGGGCTGGGAAGAAAGGCTTCGGGATCTGCTTCTGAAAACCAGCCAGTGAGAACCCGCGCATCACAACATTTCTGTCTGCAACAGGTCATAGGGATGGTGCAGGACTGGGAAGGCACTGCGTTCCCTCCTGCATGGGGTCACCAGGAGCGGAGGGCTTACCTGATGGCAGATGACAACACCAACAACTCGGACATTTATCTACTAGCAGTTTTTAAACTTTGTTGTTGTTGTTGTTATTTGCCTTCGAGTCAGCCCTGACTCATAGCGACCCTCCTTGAGTTTTCGAGGCAGTGTCACTACATAAGTAGGATTGCCCAACCTTCCTTCCGAGGACTGGCTGGTGGGTTTGAGCCGCCAACCTTCTGGTTAGCAGTCAAGTGCCTTAGGCACTATGCTACCAGAGCTCCTTTTTAAACTTCAGGAGTCAAGTAATTCTTTGAAGACCTAATGAAAACTATAGAAGTCATGGTTCCAAACTATTGTCTATCAATTCAGGGGTTAGTAGTCCCGTGACGAATCCATGGAGGCTGGGTTAAGAACCCCTGTTAGACACTTGAGGTACATGAATGAATTAAACTGACAAAAGATCCCAGCCCTTGTTGGGGTTGCAGTGTAGGAGACAGATAGCAAACAGCAAGTTA